CCCAGGTGGGCCTCCCTCCACTCTCCACCGGGCCGCCGTCACAGGAAAGCCCGCCACAGCGGGCGGCGTGGGACCCACAAACACTCGCCCTGCAACACCGTAGGGTCTAGGTCACAAGACCAGGGCCTGTCTGGTGGGTGCACATGGCCCCGAGCGCCTCGTCCCTTTCTGTGCCCAGCACGCCTTTGCCCCCTCACACACGCACACGCACGCACGCACGCACACACGCACACACGCACGCACGCACACGCGCATGCACACACACGCACACTCACACACGCACGCACACACACACGCGCACGCACACACGCATGCACAACACACGCGCACACACGCACGCACACACGCACACGCACGCACGCGCACGCACGCACGCACGCACACGCACGCACGCCCAGCTGCCTGAGCCTCTCCGGTCCCTGTATTTGCCAGGCCAGGGCTGGACGCGGGGTGTGGCCGGGCCATGGAGCTCATGGGCCAATGGGGGTGGAAGGCTAGTTCAGAATGCAACATGCTGTGACACGGGGACAGGGGGCACCCCTGGGACAGAAGAGAGCAAACAGCAACAATGGGAGCATCCAGGAAGCTTCTAGAAAGAGATGAGGCCTGTCCCAGGAACCGAAGAAAAAGATGCAGCGACACGCAGCGTGTACAGTAACCCTGTTCCAGCGGGCACAGTAACCCTGTTCCAGCGTGTACAGTGACCCTGTCCGCAGCGTGTACGGTGACTCTGTCCGCAGCTGACCTTTTCCTGTCTCTTTCTGCAAAGATAAAATGACCTTGCTCCACTTTCTCAAACTCAGTACTTGCCCTCCCACTGCGGGTGCAGCCTGCGGTTGCCAGGGCGACGCTGGAGGAACTTTAGGAAAACACAGAAAGCGCTCGTTGGGACTTGGCACAGAGTCCGGGCCGCTGCTGCCTTTCCCGGAGCACTGGTCAAACCCTGAGAATGTCCTCAAGGGAAAGTGACCGGGTGGCCCGGGCGGCCCGCGCCCCGCGCCCCACACCTGCCCGCCAGCTTGTGCCACCTGCCTGTCCCGCCTCCCTGCCCACCGGCCCCTCTGCTGGGCGACGCTGCCCCGGGCTCGCGGCACACAGGGTCTCACTGTCCCTCTTCCAGCCTGGAGCTGTTGGGGGCACGTGCCACCTGATGGGCTCGCTCGTCATCAGGCAGCTGAGAGGCGCCCCCGGCCGTCCACGTGAGGTAGGAAGCTTCCTCCCATCCCTCTAAGACCCACTGGGTCGGGGTCCAGGTCGCCTCGGGCAGGGCCAGCCAGCCCCTGCTTCTCTGGGTGCCCAGCACAATCGCGGTCATCGGGGCCGGGGACGTGGGCCTCCCTGCCAGACCCTCCCAGGTGCTCCTCCCGCCGGGCGTTCCTGTTCTGTGTCTGAGGGTGGAACATCGCTGTCTTGTCCCAATGCGGGAGGCGGAGGGAAGCGGGGCACGTCATGGGGACTCTCCTGACGTCCCCGCCCGGCGTTCCTGTCGGGAGCCCAGGCTGGAGCGCGGGGACCACACAGGCCTCAGAGGAGTGGGGGGCCGTGTTTCAACAGCGCGTGCGCCACGTGCGGCCAGGCGCAGACGCCCAGGGCGTAGGGCGGACCCGCCGCGTGCGTCTGATTCTTCCTGCGGTTCTGCCCCTGGTTCCGGTTCCTCTGCAGCTTCCTGGGCCGTTTTCAGCTCTGGCCGAAGACTCTTTTTCTCCGTGTTGCCCCAAAGCTGGAGGCCCCGAAGCCCCCTCCGTGACAGACCCAGAGATGCGGAGAGGAGCCCCGAGTGCCACCGGGGGCTGCAGGCTGGACTGCGAGCTCGGCCTGGGCAGGACGAGGTCAGTGTGGTTCGAGGGTCGGCTCCGTCCGCGCTGGCTCGTCAGTCCCTCTGGCAGAGCGGGCCCCGCCCCTCCCTGGGGACAGCAAAGCCAGTTGTCCCTGCGAAATAGGAGGACCGACTCCTAGGCCACGCGGTCAGACTGTGACAAGGACAGAGAGCAAACCGGGCCTGGATCTGCAAGTGACTAAGAAGGACGTGCCAAAGCTCCTTCGGAACTTGCTAGAAGGTCCGGAGGCCGTGGGCCCTAATGGACCTTCGCAGGGCTGCACGCAGCTGAAGCAGGCACCACGCTGTCCTGCACTGAGCCCCGGGGACGGCGGCTCTGGCCCAGTCAGCAGCACGTTGCGGCCACACTCACAGTCAGCTGCCCGGCCCAGCCTGTCCGTGGCAACGTCCCCTGCACATCCCTGGGCCTGTGCTGCACCCGGGTGGCGCGAACTGTCTGAGACCCCCAGGGACCTCGGCGCAGCTGTGACAGCCTGTGCCTCTGAGAGCACTAAGGACAGTGAGGGAGACATCTTGTCCCTAACACAGGCCTGCAGAGGTGGCTCCTCACAGCGGGGCCTCCACAGCGTGTGCTCTAGAGTCCGTGGAGCAGGGTGGGCATCTCGTCCCTCGGTCTGGGGGTCTCGTCCGGGCACATCTGGGTCTCACCCTGGGCAAGGAGAGGGCCAGAGGGCTGTTGGGGGTCAGAGGGCATAGAAGGCCATCTGTGCAGCCTCGTAGACCTAGGGCGGGTCGGGGTGGGGCGTGGGCCGGTCGGGGGGGGGCGTGGG